GGAGTATGAAAAATGAATTGCTAGTTAGTGAAGCTCAGTAGGTTTGAAACATGGTTCTGTATTTTTTAACCAATACTCAGAACAAAAATCAGTTGAATGATGCTTATTTTTAATCTGATGCTTATTTGGCGTATTTATTTTGCATATTTGTTTGTACATTTTTAAATGTACACAATTTTATATCTATGTATTCAGTACATATTAATTTATTATTTGGCTTAATCTTGGGATGTTTCTCATCATTTTCTTTGACACTGTTTGACATAATCACAGTTTTAATGATCTTTAGTTTAATTTTGTGATTTTGCTCATAATTGTTGCTTATTCAAATAAAGAAAAAAAAAATACCCTATTTGGTCATATTTGAACTAGGCACTGAATTTGTACTTCAGATTAACTACATTTATTTTTCATGCTCATCTTAGCTAACGCTCAGTACTGACCAGTAAACACTTCATTATGAAGCTAATACATCTATAATCAGCTGATGACTCTATCCTGCTGATTTACTCCTAATGACGCAATACAGCATCCATTTGTGTGGAAACAAATTGTTTATGAGAAAGGACTTCAGTACTTATCCTTGTAAGGTCAGATTGGTCTGAATTGTTTATAAGTGGAAAATGGAACGTGCAATTAACAAAAACATATGTGTTATTCAAATAATTTTGTATAAACAAACAGGCTAAGTCAGAATTGTTTATTTATTGAAAGACGGATCTATTAGGATTAGGACGAAGTAGACACAAATGTATGGTAAATCTCTCTTTTTTTATAAATAAACAAACAAACAAATAAATAAATACATCATGTGTGTATGTAATGCTTAACTGTCAGACAACTTCTCCTTAACAAATGTTTGTTGCTATTTTATACCATGACATGCTTTTAGCCATCTAATATTGAATTAAGATGATTTCAGTTCATATCCTGCTCTCTGGAAAATATAAACCGCATATTTGAAGAAATAATAGACTGAGTGTTTCCGTTGAAAGACAATTTATCAACATTTAAGGTTGCAGAAAAAATAATTTATCAGAGGGCAATGATGAGTTCACAGAAATCTGTTCATTTTCCAAAATGTACATTAATTAATCTTCCGGTGAACACCATCATCTGTACAAATCTCTCTATTTATCTTAAAGGATGGCTATGTGCAATGTTCAGTGTACTTCTCTTTCAGAAGCTGGTCTGAGTGCACCATAGCCTACATAGATAATGCTGCCTTTCAAACTCCAGTACCCTTTAAATAATGAAAAAACAAAGAAACATATTAGTTGATTTGTAATGATGGTGGATGGGTGAATACTGGGAATATAATACATATAATAAAAAAAAGAGTTTTGCTGAAGGACAACCAAAACATTTACATCCAAACATTAATTTAAACAAACAAACAAACAAACAAACAATAAATGTGGAATCTTTTTTGAGATTGAGGTCCAGCTCAGCCCAGACTTCTGTTAGGATGGCTGGCACACACAGCACCTAACCATAACAAACCTAACCAACACAAAACTCTGGTAACCTAACAAGGCACAATATATGACTATTTGAATTAGGCTACATAGGCTATAGCATAAATAAATATTAAACAAATTAAATAGGAAATATATGTGTATGTAGTGGCCTAGCTAATTAACATATATCAAAATGAAAATAATTAATTAATCACTTGGCCCCTAGCTTAGGCCAAGTGAGGAAGAGATTGTTAATGATCGACTGCAAAAAACCCCGTAAATTTACAGGTAACGGCCTGGTTTTTTTTACAGAAATTTGCCGTTTTGTCATTATACAGCGAATTCCTGTTATTTTACAGATATTTGCTGTAATTTAAAGGTCCACTATTAAATTTACAGGTAATTGCTTGTATTTTAGTTTTACATCAATTTTACGTTTTTTTAAAGGAAATTGTCTGTATTTTTACAGGGTTATGTGTAATTTTACATAAAATATTCGTAATATTTTACAGATTTTTTCTGTTAAATTAGAAAACACAGAAAAGAAGGTATAACTGCAGAAATCAGCAGTCATTTAACATGTTTTCCTTGAAGATCATTAAGCATGTGGGTGTTAAAGTGAGTTTTAAGGTTAAATAATAGTATTTCCGTACTATATACGGTAAAAACTGTGATAGATCTAATGGTACATTTAATGTAATTTTACTGTAAAATACATTTAAATTTACAGTTTTTGAAAGTGAAAAAGAACAACTCGTTTAATTTACAGTGAAAAAACGTAAATTGACATTCCCACAATTCTCTGCGTGACACTTAACATTTGATGTGTTTTTGTTGAAAAAAACTATGTTTCTTCATAGTTTTCTTTTTTTTTTTTAATCAGTTATGTATATTAGGGTTTTATGTTACATTTAATGTTGTTAAACTAATGTTTATTGCATTTTTAAAATGTCATGTGTCACCATGATGGTGTTTAATGTTTGTGCGAATGACACTGTGCAGTTTCTAAATATTAGTATTAACTCTCTTGTGGAAGAGCTGCTTGTAATGAGCTTTGAATGATCATGTGACTCATCACCACTGTGGTTGTTGGTTGTCAGTGTATTACAATGGTACAAAACCGAAATTAATACTTCAATAGGTCAGTAAATTAACATTATATCAGATAATGAAAGATAATTTTGTGTAGAATAACAGTAATAAACCATAATTATAGGATAAGAAATTACCATTTTTTTTCAGGTTTTTTACAGTTTTTTTCCTGACAGTATTTTTCCGTTTTTTAACAGACATTTTCTGGCGCCCCTGCTGCCAGAAAATTACCGTTTTTTTACGGGGTTTTTTTTTACAGTGTGCGGTGAACTTCCTTTGTTGACTCTTTTCTTGTTACGCGGCAAAACAATTGTGTGACGACGGGACCCGTGCCGTAGTTTTTGACCGTCCACTCTCCCACCTGCAGCAAAGGTGTAAAACCCCACCCGCGGGACCCCAATGTCTATAGAGCTGGTAAGTCCCGCCCATCCGTAAAACTCCAAGTGGACCTCTAGGTTGAAAAAACGTCAATGCAAGTGAATGAGAGAAAATAATAATTTTCTGATCCCGTTTGAATTGTGCCATGAATGTGAACATATGTTGTCTGTGAATTTTTTATATAATTTCTCATGTAACGAGTTTGACAGTATATTGTATGATTCTTTGGCTAGCAGTTGTGGAATAAACATAACGAGAAAGACTTCACGTCGCATATGTGACGTCACCGCATAACACATTTTCCCTCCACAAATCACGGTGCGATAATCTAAGGAATTAGATCGAGATGCCTGTGTGTTTTGTACCCAAATGTCACCATGAAGTGCACCAAAGACACAGGCATGTTTAGCGGGATCCGTGTGCTAGTGGTGGTGACGTATATCAAACGCGTCGAAAGCAGCGAAGAGTTGTAGTCCACAAAGTGCTCTCACACAAAGTCTAACCGTATGAAAATTCTACCCGCTAAATTGTAGCATTCTTTACACGAAAAATTCTATAAAAAATTAACTGACAACATATGTTCACATTCATTGCAAAATTCAAACGGGATTAGAAAATAATTATTTTCTCTCATTCACTTGCATTGACGATTTTTCAACCTAAAGGTCCAGCGGGGTAAGCGGAAGGGGCGGGACTTACCAGCTCTATGTGTAGGGATGTGCTGCGTCCCAATTCGCCTACTTATACTACGCCCTAAAAGTATGTACTCTTTTTGTGAAGAAAAAGTACATACTTTTGAGTGAGTAGCAAAAGAGTAGGCAAGCTTTGGGACATACTACTTCGTCATCTTTAACGGACAGATCTGTCGCGGGCATCCTGTCACCGTAAACTGCCCTGTCAATCATCTCGTCACAGTTAAAATCCTCCATTCAATCTAATATAACTTCTTACCATTTCGGAGATAATTGTTGTCCCACGTTCATCTGCCAGTCATGGGTCTTTCATGCGGAGACTCTCCTCATGTGTTTGGAATTTGAATATAATAATGCATTTAAAAGTTAATGGCTAAACGTATCTTTGCAAAAGTTCACAATGCTGCTGCAGATGCAATATAATGTGGACAACATTGAATAAATACATTTTCGTCAGGTTAGATACTGATAATTAATCACTCAAACCCCTTTATCTAAACCTCTCTACATAACCGTCGGACTCGCGCGTCCTCCATGTCTGTAGTTTTTGAACACTTTTCATTCGTGTTTGTAGTTCTAACCGAATCCTCGTCCAACGCACGATGGGTTGTGGGCAATATCCGGCAATATCAGCCGTGCGCATCCATAGACATAATAAATATATATTATGTCTATGTGCGCATCGATCTGCACTTCAGATTCTGACCGGATATAGTAGACCATCCGGGTCTCTTTGGGACACTCATTTCAACATACTACGATTTGGGACGTACTAATTCTATTTTCGAATACTATTTAGGACGGATAGTATGCGAATTGGGACGCAGCATTTGTCTGAGATCAGTATTTAAGGTCTGATTGTCATATGCTCAGTCACATGAGTTTGTGTGCGTGTGTGTGTGTTCATCCGGGTATTCGCAACTTCAGTTATGGGAAGTCGGACTCATTTCCACGAATCGGTTCTTTCGAATCGTTAGATTGAAAGATTCTTGCTTCAAAACGATTCTCAAGTGTTTTCCGTCACATCTATTGCTATTTCTTACTAGCTATTTTACGATTAAATTGTACTGATCGTTTATTATTATGTATGCAGCTAGGATTTAGCTCATAATTCAAAAAAGTAATTTCGAAATTACAAATTGCATTTAAAATAAACTATTTATTTTTATTTTTGTTATACATCTTTCGGGTGAAAAAAGTGATTTTACAAAAAAAAAAAACCGGTTTCGTATGTTTGTTGATTAAACTGACATACAATCAAGTTGTAAACAATTCAGTATTTGTAGAAATTCTGATATTCGGCTCATTGAATCATTCAGAATTGTTTTGTGAATCTGTTCAAATGGTTCATTAAAAAGATTCGACTCAGAAGAACAAATCGTTCACGAATCGGACAGCACTGTCAATCAGGACTGCGGAGCTACATCTTGCTTTTTCTGTAGCTAGTACACAGTTAGTCTTATTTTTTCACCATGCCTTTCTCTGAATTATATTTTAATGTGGATAATGGTTATCTGGAGGGGCTGGTGAGAGGTTTTAAGGCTGGTATTTTATCTCAGGCGGATTATTTGAACCTTGTTCAATGTGAAACTCTGGAAGGTGAGTCAAATGTGTCTTTAGGCTGCTAGCTTATCTGATCCGTTTTATTTTTCGACATTTCCACATGCAGTTGCGTGTCGTTTTTGACATGTATTGTCGTTTAAAAATGCAAACCGTATTTTATCATTGATGTGGTAAGTTATCTCGCTCATAAATCGTCATAAAACAACAGCACAGCTAATGTCAGTTAACGTTAGCTTGTTTCTTTAGCCAGCACAGATCCTCCGAGCGTTTAAATCCCCTTCAGCTGGCGAAGTTCAGTTTTTACAACCTTATATTTCCCATGTTCATCTGCCCTGATATTAAGTAAACTAATGAAGTCCACTGAACATTATATTATATTACTTTTTAATTTAAGTGCAATAAATATACATGCTAACTGTGCTGCTTTCAGCAACATATTCATTGTATCAGCTATTTTCTGATCTGTATATTTACGTTATTTATTTTACTTGATCGTTCGCAAATGTTTAAACCGCTGCTCTATTTTAAACATGCAATGTAATGTACAGTATTATTTTTAAAGGCCTGCGTTTAACCTGACGGACTGATGGTTACCAGAACATCCTCGGTTGTGATTTCAACGTCGTATTTAAATGGTTAAGACCAGCCAGTAATTGATTTTGACCCGTTTAAAGTAATGATAGGGATAAATTGTAAATATGTGTTTGTATTTTTTTTTTTTTTTAAATAAACGAAAGATACAGGTCTCATTTGAGGAATGATAGTTGATGGTGCTAGTCATGTGATAGTCTGTCATCATGACGTCAGTTCTGTAGGATTGGCATATTCTCATTCAACCTGTGCTGATGGCAGTATACTTGTTTTTTATGACCTTACTCGTCCAGCAATTTACTTTCACTTATAAAAACAAACAAACAAAAAAAACATTTGCTTTAAAGAAAACCAATTATGACCAAATTTGTTTGGATGGAGTTTGGTTTGCCTTCTTCATGAAAAACAAAATATTATATATATATATATCTAAATCAATGCTGCATAAATTAATTTAGACATCCTCTAGATGAAAATTTTACAGTATTAAAAAATAAAGTATTTTGACAGTATTCACTGGAATAGAGCTTTGTCACTCTGAAAACTCCCTAACAAATATGAGTACATTTTAAGAAACTGTAGCCTGGTTAAAACCAGACCATTCTCAGTTGTAACTGAGTTATGGTCTGGCAAAGCGTCATAGACTAGGGCTGCAACAAACGATTATTTTGATAATCGATTAATCTAACGATTATTAGAACGATTAATCGACTAATCGTCGATTATTTCGCAGACTAATCAGTAAGTTTGGAACGATTATTCAGCTTTTCCAATTAGTTAAAACATTGAGTTATACATATTCTAACTATAATATAAAAAAAGAAAATCACTTCAGCTTTTGAAATAGTTGTTTTAATGAACTTTGAGCCAACTAAACAGGTCATTCTCTTTAAGTTTTCAGATTTCGGTCCAACTCAAATCACACACAAATGCTCTCTAAGCATTGTTTAATAGGCCCACTGCTTTTCTTAGAACTGAAACAGAAAAAGGGACATTTACTTCAGGACACAAAGAATGGTAAAATAATAATCTGCAAACAATTATTATAATTATAAAATTACAATCTTTTTTTACATAGCAATTGAGCTGACAGAGACGTTCTCATTCCCTTTTAATTTATAGTATGATAAAGTGACTGCCGTGATATTCTTCCTATATCATAGGAAGGATATAACATCTCGTTTTGTAAGTCTTCATGATTATTGAACAAAATACAGGCAAGTGATAAGACTATAATAATACCTAATATACTAATAGTGTTACAATAATAAAAACAGCCCTGACTCCTAAGCTCGATCAAGCTTTATTCTATACAAAATAAGTCATCACATTACTGTAATTATATTACTATTGATAATATTATTACTATTATTAGTAGTATTGCATTCTCTAATAAAGAGAGATTTGCCGCTGGTTAGTTAACGTTAGCTCCAGCTGGAGAACACTCACTTCTCACCGGCTCCTCTTTTGCCGGGATGTTTCCTCTTGCACCCCAACATTGCACACGACAGCATTCTTGATTTGAAGTTTTGTGAAACTTTCCCAAACCTAAACCTTGCTAGTTCGGATTCGTTTGCACTGACTGTCATAATTCGCGCTGTTTTCTCTTCTATCGCAATAGCATTTGTAAGGGCTGCACTACACTCTAGCGCTACAGCGCCGTAGCGTTCAAATCGCGGGATTGCAGGCCCTTACATTAGGTCACGTGAGATCAAACGACTACTCGACAACAAAGATATTTGTCGACAAATTTTTATTGTCGACGTTGTCGACAACGTCGACTAATCGTTGCAGCCCTATCATAGACAAATCATTTCCAGAGGGGCGTCACCAACGGACGTCGCGGATAGACCTAAACCCAATCAGAGCGATGAAGGAGATGACGTATGCAGAGCGGCGGAGAAACATCTCCGAGTGTTGTTCTTTGGTCGGTTTTTAACAAAAAGGAAACGTTCAAATCGCTTAAAACGGGCGCGATAGCTGATTCAAACGAGTGATGTTCGATGGCGGCATTCATCTTTGTAATGTAGGCTACAAAATCCCAGCGGTGTCGTCATCGTGTAAAGCCCGCCCCAACATTTCTGATTGGTGCCTCGATTTCGACGGATTGGAAATGGACTTGAATGAGCTCTTTGCCAGACTAACTTTCAGAGCAAATCTAAATTTGCCGGAAGTTGTCTGGGTTTTCCCAGGCTAAAGAAACTGCGAAATATCTATCCAACTAGCTCCCAAATTGCTACTTTTGCTGATGTTTCCAACTTATGTGTATTTTGTAAAATTGGGAAAGAAACTTAATTTATTTGATCAATTCAATCAGATAGCCTACATTCCATTTGGGACAGTTTAAATCTAAAAAATCCTTCAACCTGTGCTGCATTACTGCCTAATATTTCACAGTTTACAATTAAATAACTTTTAAAATAACCCCAAAAATGAATGCAATGTTTTTAGAAATGGAATAAATTGTCTCCCCCTTTAAGAATCAATGGGAAGTGACTCACTTGGAATTTTTGCTTGTGCTTTAGGGAACTGGAAACTGTGTAAAAACATTTCTGAGATGAATGTATATAGAAATCACTTCGAGCACAACCCTTTAGCATTGACGAATGAGAATTTGGGTTTACAGATAAATTCATCATCATCATCATCATCTTCTTCTTTAAAATAAAAATAAAATAAAAAAGTTTTTGCTTGTATTTCTCCTCAGACCTGAAGCTTCATTTGCAGAGCACTGACTATGGAAGTTTCCTGGCCAATGAAGCCTCCCCCCTCACTGTCTCCGTCATTGATGACAAACTAAAAGAGAAGATGGTGGTTGAGTTCCGCCATATGAGGAACCAGTCTTATGAGCCTCTGGCCAGCTTCATGGATTTCATCACGTGAGTGCAGACAGATATAAAAAAACATAAGCAAACCATGCTGCCAATTCACAACACGAGGTGTCAAATATAATGCTGTATTTTACAAATTTATTGGATTTAGTGAATATTCATAACCAAGACATTTCTTTTTATAGCTTTTTCTGCTGGATTTTAAACGAATCACTATGTTTTATTAAGCTATTTTCCGCCGTTTTTTTCTGCTATTTGCTGCTTTTTCAGATACAGCTATATGATTGACAACGTCATCCTGCTTATCACTGGAACTCTGCATCAGCGGGCCATCTCTGAGCTGGTGCCCAAGTGCCATCCGCTTGGCAGCTTCGAACAGATGGAGGCCGTTAACATTGCCCAGACTCCAGCAGAGCTCTATAATGCCATCCTGGTGGATACACCACTTGGTAGGACAATCTTGATATAAAAAATTAACACATGAATCACGTTCACTTTAAGTTTTGTGGCTAGAGGAAGTCACTGAGTTGCAAATCTTGTAAAATTTTTTTTTAAGCATTCACAAATCTCCAAAACATATTCTAAATAATACCAAAGTGCTCATCCCCACATCACAGTTAAAGGCTGTTTCTGTTTGTTGCAGCTGCTTTCTTTCAGGACTGCATCTCTGAGCAGGATTTGGATGAGATGAACATTGAAATAATTCGGAACACCCTTTACAAGGTCAGCCTTGCGATGGAAAATACAGGGACGTAAATCTTAAACATTCATTAGGAATTTTCTCGTGACATAACAAATATGCTTAATTAAACACAGAAACTCGCTGGTTTTGTCTGGATATTATGTGCGGGTAGTGATCTAACTTTGACACTGTATGTTGGGGAGACCGGGGCTAGTTGTCACCATATTTACGCCTTTGAATATTTTTCAGGGTAGGTTGATTTCTGTATAGGCATATACCAAGACTTGGCTGCAAAAACTTTATTGAACAGCAGTGTTGTTGAGCAGAAAAAATTATACAGTAGGTTAAACACTTGTTTTGTTTTAATTTTGTTTTAATTTTTCCAAAATACAACTTGCAGTGAAATGTAAACCTGGTCAGCTACTTAGACTGTCCATTAAATATATAAATAGTTGATAAAAAAAAAGGTAAGATAAGATGAACACAAGAAATAATGATGGAAAAATGTGTGATGATAACAAAATAGCAATAAAGTCAGTAGGATTAAAAAATGCTGGGCATGTTACCAGTAAAATATGTCAGTATTCTTTCTACCTCTGAGCTCTGTCTGGCCTTTAACCTTGAAACCATGAGCTGTGGTTGATCTCTCCTGTCTGTGTCTCCAGGCGTATCTCGAAGCTTTCTACAAGTTCTGTTCCTCACTGGGGGGAACAACCGCAGACACCATGTGTCCAATTCTGGAGGTGAGTAATACAAGTACAATGAAAAAGATTCTGATGGGATTTTTTAATTGTTATTGATACATTTCAGTCTTTTAGTAACTAAAGCAAAGCTTTGTTTGTGTATCAGTTTGAGGCAGACAGAAGGGCTTTCATCATTACCATTAACTCCTTTGGTACGGAGCTCTCCAAAGAAGACCGAGCGAAACTTTTCCCTCACTGTGGCAAGCTCTACCCAGAGGGTCTAGCACAGCTAGCCCGCGCAGATGATTACGAGCAGGTCAAAGCTGTCGCTGAGTACTACCCTGTAGGTATCTGTGTACACCGAAATGGCTTCAAACTAACACTTCATAGACAGCATGATTAAATTATGACAGAATGTTCAGAATCTTTGGCTGAACTGTTCTTTTAATTCTATAAGAGTTGTTTTGATGTGAAGTTCACGTAGCGTGTCTTTGGTATTTTTGCCCACCAAAATGATTTGAGGATTAACACTGAATTCATGTTGCTTCAGGAATACAAGCTTCTCTTTGAGGGTGCTGGCAGCAACCCAGGAGACAAAACCCTTGAGGATCGCTTTTTTGAACACGAGGTCAGCATTACAGAGAGAATGCTACTACATTGGATCTTATGTAATTCAGGGATTTTTTTGATGTTGGCAAATGTGTTCTTTTGAAAGTCCTCTGCTAATGGGAAAATGTTGGTTATGTGTTTGCAGGTGAAACTTAATAAGCTGGCCTTCCTGAATCAGTTTCATTTCAGCGTGTTCTATGCCTATGTCAAATTGAAGGAACAAGAGTGCCGGAACATTGTGTGGATTGCAGAGTGTATCGCCCAAAGGCACCGGGCTAAGATTGACAACTACATCCCCATATTCTAATGGTACATAATATCAGTCTTGAATAATGATCCACATGGCATGTATTAACTGTACTCTGTTATGTTGATTCTGAAAATGATGATTCTGTCTCCTCCCTGTTTCTTGCACTATGCCACTCTTACCTTTCATTGTGATTGTCTTTATTAGAGTAAATTATCGTTTGTTTTTGTCTGACAGACAAAGCAATGCAGTTAGCATTCCATCTCAAAACTTAGGATTTTTTTAAATGAAAAGTTTTATAAAAGTAGTCAATGTTATTTTGCTTCATAATATTATGACTGTGTAACAATGTCACCTAGAAACCAATCACAGCCCTTTGCAAGTAAATAAATGCAGGGAGTTACAGGAAAACAGGAGAGTTTATGTTTTAGTGAAACATAACTAAAGAGAGATCTATTGTCATACTCTTCCTGTGTAAGGCTAAGAAAACATGCATTCCATCATTATTGTTTATGCATTGAATACTTTTTCAATTAATGTACATTTTCAGATTATAAACTCCCTGAACTCGGGATCTTAGAGGATCCAGTATCCACATCTGATGAGGCTTAGATAACCACTGCTAATCTAGACAGCTGTCCTTATTCATGAAACAAGCAGAATGAATTTCAGTATAAATTTTACATACAAGCTTTTTTGTGTAAATTGTTGGATTCAATGCAACAACACGGTTTACGTAAGCATGGATTTATAATTGATTTACAGAGAAATTGTTTTCCATGTGTTTCATGAATACGGAACAGTAGGATTATCCTTATAAAAAAGAGAAATGTGGGCGATTTACACGAAAATGTTTTTTTGTGTTTAGATTGTTCATAATGTATGTTTGTTAAAATGAGAATTGTGTGCTTGCCATTTGTAAATTTGTGCTGACATAATTTATGGAGTAGATCATATTTCATGATTGACAGCTGAATTGGTGAGGTCTAATGGATCTAGTATTAAGAAAGACCATGCCCTCTTGCAATGTAAAATCTATTGTACTGTTGTAACCATAATGTTTGTGTTTTAAGTGATCTAAATGAAGTCTATATATATATATACACACACACACACACTAAATATACAGTAAATCTGTGTTTGTATGTTTTATTCTATCTTTAAGAGAAAAAGAGAGGATTGAAAAACAGCCACTATTGCATTTTGTGGAGATATCTAGCTTGATTTAGCAGTAGTTACATTAGCCACCACCAGATGGTGCAAAGAGCCCAAAAATCCTTCATCAACATGTGCAGATTGGCTTGGAAGTTGGCTACAGCATGCGCTTTAGAATTTAAATAAAAATTTTACTACAGACATTCAGCTGAACACAAAAGGATTTACTGTACCTTCCAACACAACCTGAAGATATTCTTTATAAAGATAATTATCCTGGTGTATTGTACTATTGTGTGGAGATGTTTAAGCATGTGGTGTTCTAGTTGACAGGAAGATGTGTCTGCCAAAACCCATGAGAGGCCTCTGGGGCTAATGATGCCGTGTTTGCATTAACGCTGTGTTACTGTACTCTGCCAAAAGCTAAGCTATACCTAAACATGTGAAGGATGTGCCAACCGCTTACTGACAGAGCTTCAGTCTTTTGTAAATACCAGATGTGGTTTGAACATGTAGTTGAATGGCTGGCTATCTGTGTTTTAAAACACTGGACACATTTTTTTCCTAGGGCTTAGTGATGTTCTAAACACCCACGCTGTACATTGAGTTTTGTATTTCGGTTCGGATGAACATAATTTTTTTTTGGAGGGGGCTTTGTATCACTCTCTGATGACCCCATCCTCGTTCTTTCTACGTGCTAAAACATTATGGTCCAGGCCTCATTAAAAACGCTTAATTACTGCAAACAATCACAGCCTTTTAGTTCCACAGTGCTCTGGACCTATTGCGGATCAGAAGACCGAAAATGGCTTGGACTCTAGCAACCTTTTTGAATGCAAATTATCTTAGCAGCCACGTCACCGCAGCCAAGACAAGAGCACAATAAGTTTAAACTATTCATCTTCTTGTTGCCACACAACTCCTGGAAAATGCATAAATCTTTCAGACGCCCCAATCCATTTTCATTCAGTAGTTATGCAATGTATCTGTTTTGACCAATGTTAATGTTGTAATATTATGGTGGACATTCTATTACAGTACAGGTGGTATTCCTGTTTATCTTCTTCAGCAAATAGTGATGGTTTGGTTTAGCCAGATCTAATGCAGTTGGATGTATACGATGGAAGTCCCAGACTTGAATAAAATAATGGAGGTGAATTTATGGAACATTATGGGATTTATGGCCATTTTGATTAGGTGATGCATGTACAAAGTTACTGTTGGATCGTCACCTTTGCATTGTAGGAACACCATCTAACTTTACTACTTAATGTCATTCCGAACATGAATGGCTTTCTTTCTTCTGTGGAACACAAAATATATTAGTGCTGCCACTAACGACTAATTTTCTAACGACTAATCTTTCGAACTAATTTTTCGATTAGTCGACTAATCTAAACGACTAATAAAAAAAAAAAGTGTTTATTTCGTTGTGTCCATTTTATTTTGAACTCAACTGAAGGGCCAAAACATAAAATGTCACCTGTTCAAAAACATTATGTATTAACAATCTAAGCATTAAGTATCTGCATTTCCATTAGGCTATACCATATTAGTCAGAGTCCTAATCTAATCCTCTAATAACAAACATGTATGTATTACTTAAATTAGCTCTTTGTTCTGCCTTAAAAAATGTGCAGTAAGCTAATAATGATTAATTTATGTACATTTCTGAAAAGCATAACTGATAACATCACTCTGAATAGTAAAGTAGATGCAATGCATTTTCTGTGAAAAGCGCTATACAAATAAATTGGAATTGAATTGAAAGAGTCTGGACTAGCCCACTATGAGTCGCGCTGAAAGCAGGCAGGCACGCAGTTATGTAGCTCGCGTTTACACTTGCGTGCATGGCAGGCCCGTGCCGCGGTTCGCGTGAATGTGAAAGCAACACGGACTCGGGAGCGCTTGTTCAGGAAGTTAAGTAACCTGCCCATGCGTTTTAGCTGATTATGATGCATTTAGTTAAATAAAACACATGTAAGGGATGATAGTGTTGATGATTTACCTTGGATACGCGAGAGTTGAGTCTGCAGTGTGCGCATTGCGCGTGCAATCAGGGCAACACATTTGGAAATCCACTGTCTCCTCAAAAGAGTCCGTTTGAAAAACACAATATATTGACCCGCGTTCTGTTTTCTATCATGCGCCGTGCACGTTTGCGATGGCATAAGATGCAGGCAAACTCAACAGGGTTCGATAGAATTGAGTGTGAAACCAGACCAACGCTGCGGGGGGCGCCGGGAACAATCGCGCTCGCGCTCGGACTCGGACCGCAGCAAACGAGCCCACTGTGAAAGCTCCGTCACCTGCCTCCGCAATTTTTCATATCAAAGCAGTGAAGGCGGGCGGGAACGTGAAGGAAAATGATAGCAGATAAACCAGCAGGGCGCGCACGGCGCACAGACTGGTGTGTGGAGGTGAATTACAGTGAGCCGTTTGTGACGGGAGACCAAAAATAAATAGCGGTCAATAGTAAAATGACACGTCGACTAAAAAAATTGCCGTCGACTAATTTGCATGGTCGATTACGTCGACTAAGTCGACTAATCGCGGCAGCACTAATTATGTGACCTGTTCCATTCAATGGTCACTAAAACTGTTTGGTTACCAACGTTCTTCAAAATATGCTTTTTTATGTTCTGTAGAAGAAAGAAATGCATGCAGGTTTGGAACAACATAAATAACAGAATTTTCATTTTTGGGTGAACCACCCCTTTAAGTTCATGCAATGCAACATCTTTACTATTCTATTGAAGAGTAGTAACCACAGTAGAGTAAAGAGTGCAAGACCTACATCTTACATCTTCTGTCACAGAGCCTTTAAGAGCATGTTCACTATTCTCTAATTGGATTACGAATCCCTACAATTCAGCAGGATGATGCCCTCTCCACCCACTGGTGTTAAGATGTTCAGAGAGATGCCTTTGGTTATATTTTGCTGATACTAGGAAACAGTTTTAGTGTTTCTGTGGAAGTCACAGTGTTCCCAGTACCCAGGAGGACACACATGGTTAGCATTTAGATACTGAAATAAAGATATTCTGAGAATATGGGAGGCAACTGTGATGCACTGTCACCTGCTATACAGGAAAAACCATCACACTGCAAATGTAGGTTCAAATATACAAAGTCTTTTTTTTTTTTTTTACATTTATCTTTGTATACTTCCTGGTGAAGAAAGGAAGATGCATAGAAAAAACGAGTATGCGTCAAATGCAGGGTGCAGACACAGCTATACTTACATTTTATAGTATAGTTACAAGTACGTAGCCTGTGTGTTCCTTTGCACTTGCAGGAAATGGTTCTCTGGTTGCACAACACTCACTGATGCCCTGGGATTTGACTGGCATTATTACAAGCGCACTGGGCAGCCTCTTCTCCATGGGCTTTTTCTTTGACAAGAAGATCTCTGTTGGAAACCAGATGAGCAAAAATAGCCTGCTAATGATGTTTTTGTGGGCCCTTGTCAAGCAGTGAATGAGAGAAGTCAAGGACTGATGTATGCAGACTTGTACCCATTGACCGGTACTTACAAACAGTTACAAACAGACTGAGAAGACAGAAACAAAAGCAACGTATATAGGCATCTGTAAAACGCTGCAGTCTTTGTATCTCTACTGCTTTACAGTCACTGCACATTAAATGATGTTACACAGTCCTATGCTTCTGCAAAAGCTTGCATCAGAAGCAGGGTGGCATTCTGCGAAAGTGAACATGAAGAATAGCATCATTTAGATTTGTTTTAATTACTTGAAAAATGCTAATTCCGGATCGTGACCTTGTTTACAATAAACCAGTGGGAGAATCTATAGTGAGACGCCATTATAATTGTGCTGCGGTTGCCAAACTGTTAATTATTTGTGTGGATGAAATTAATGACGTGTAGCCACAGTTGCCTCAGATCATTCTCTACTCATTAACACAGCCTAAACATTAAGCCCCCATCAATGTAGTTCTAACAAAGGCTGCTGCATTAGATGGGTATGTGTGTCCTGTGGTGTCCTATGCCCCTCTGTCCCTCATCTTGCTTTGCCATCTGACAAATGCCCCGGCGACTCGGCCCCATCTCCTAGTGGCAAGTGCTGGGAACAAATGCGCTATACATTGTTTACAATGTAATTGTGTCCCACAGTCCAGGAAGAAAACAAACAAACAGAGGGAACATAGGGAGCATATGGTTACATAAGGTTTGGCACTGTATGGATGACCAAGTGTCCTTCCTGTCTGCCTGCAGCACTGTCTTATGTGTCTAACATTACGGACATTGCAGTTTATCGCTCTGGCCACATTTGCAGGCCTCAAGCCTCCCTGCAGCAGGACAATGGCATGTTCACATAGGTGAGCACTGAGTAGGGGTCTCTTTAGTGTCCTAAATTATTGGCACTGTGACCTTAATTCCTCCCACAAATGAAGGTCTAGATAGATTAGATGGTAAGCAAACAGTCAGTTCTCATAATCAATGTGTTGGATGCAGAAGAAATGGACAGGAATAAAGATCTGAGAGACTTTGACAAGGGCCAAATTATGGTTTTCAATCTACTTTTTCAGCCTAGTGTGTCTGGCCTGCACAAACCATACCATTTTCCATCCAAGTATGCTCAGTGTTAAGAACTTAGTATGTTGATGTTGGCAAACGTCCTGTTCTGGATTTTAACATCTGTAGCGCTGAGACAGTGTGCAGCACTCCTCACTCCTGAGGGGAATTAGCAAGTCTGAACCGTTGCCTGTGGCACACCTGCAAAGGTCTTGAAATGCTAAGCTTTTAATTAGACTGAAATTTGTTGCTAGCAGGCCAGACACTCACTAACGTTAATCATAATATCAGTTTTACATACAAGTACTTCAAGTACGACTAGATGTGCTGACAACATGAAGTGTTAGAGTGGAAAATCTTGCAGCTGTGAAGTAATGCTGGATGGACCTACATTGTTTATTGATGTAGTGGTGTGTTATTGTTCCCTATTTTGAATGGCACAATCTCCTGCCCTTTGTCCTTAACACCTCACCACAACCCAAGAGTTGACTTGTGTGTGAAACATTTTTTGTTTCTTTTCCATAAAAAAAAAAAAGAAATGACCCTCTGGAATTGGCTGAACTCTTGCATCAGGACACCACTAGCATTATTAATCTGAACTCTTTCTCAGAATTTTCTTTGCTTTTCTCTCTGCTATGCCAGATTTCTCAACTCTTGGACATACAGTACTTGGGTCCAGTATTTTGTTTAATTTGGTCCTTTTTGCCACGTTAGCTATCAGTGGCAGTGTAAGGAACAGTAATTGATGGATAGATTTGAATCTGTATTGTGTACATGAGCACCACATCTCAACATGTCAGAGCATATGTCTTGTAAACATAATATCTTGGAAGTAGTGCTTTATATGTAAAGGGAAATTAACATTTAACATTTACACACACACATACGTATATATATATATATATATATATATATATATATATATATATATATATATATATATATACAGTATAGCTATATATATAGCCGTTTCTTTTTCTGTTTTTCCAGAATTGGCTGAACCTTTTCCCCAGGACACCACCAGCATTGTTAATCTTGTCTCTTTCTCAGAATAGTCTGAGGGGGAACAGGATTTGGCAAATGATGCAAGATCGGACTTGAACTTGCATCACCCATCTGAGCACCACATCTCAACGTATGACAGCACATGCAGTAACTGCTACATGCTGAGACTTTGAAGTTTTTTTTTTTATATGTATTGATTTTTAAAAGTTGGAGTCGGATATTGTCCATAACAGCCTTTAGTTTTACATCACAGTCTGACAAAACCACACATGACAGCTTGTACAGAGAATGAAAACAATGAAAATACTTAAAAAATTTAACGAATCCTAGCCACTTCACAATAAGTTGATAGTTGGTAAAATAAATAGTTGATGTATGAGTGTGTTTGCATAAGTTTGATGTATAAGTTTGCACAACTAAGGAAACTGAGGAAACAATGAAGCAGAAATGTTTGTAAAACTTTATTTTTATTTTTTTATGAATTATTTTTTTGATAATCACACAAATTGCTGCAGCTGGGACTGTGAGAGAGGCTAAACATACTTTTCTCTGTTTATTACACAAGTGCCACTCATATTTACAGTGTTTACTGGCAGGGACACTTTGCATTGTTTAG